GGTGGAGCCGGGCCCCGGGATGACGGCAGGGTCAGCGCCGCGGGGGTTATGGCTGGGCCCCGCCTCCATGTGTTCAAAGTCTTTTTGGCCTGTGAAGCAGGGCTATTCCCTGCCTACTTTAAGTAGATGTTTCAAACAGTTTAATGTAAAATTTACTTAGAGTCCCGTGGGCCACTTTTGTTGGAAGCTAAAATCTCTCTCTTTTTTTTTAACAGCTTGACAACGGATTTACTCAAAACCGCTAGTGGACACACCTGCGCGCCTTGGCAGAGATGCGGCAGAACTCCCCCTGTGAAGCAGGGCTATTCCCTGCCTACTTTAAGTAGATGTTTCAAACAGTTTAATGTAAAATTTACTTAGAGTCCCGTGGGCCACTTTTGTTGGAAGCTAAAATCTCTCTCTTTTTTTTTAACAGCTTGACAACGGATTTACTCAAAACCGCTAGTGGACACACCTGCGCGCCTTGGCAGAGATGCGGCTGAACTCTTGCTCTGGGTTCTTGGAACCTGGACTTCCATAGCGAGTTGTAGGGGAACGATCATTGGATGGAGGAACCATCCGAATAAGCAATTTCATGAAGCAAGGAGTCTGTGCAGACGATGCGAATTTGAATGTAAAATTAAAAATTCTACCTGTATGAAATTCAAAATTCTACCTTTGAAAGACATGCCATCACATACCAACATTTATCAGGACACCATTTCCGTTACTGGTCCCCACTCACCCTGTGCTGTCTTGTGCTCAGTTGCACAAAATTTTATAAGGACAAGACCTGGAGGGGGGAAGCATGTAGTAATTTAAGTCACCGTCTATGTGAGTGTTTTTCTTTAAAAATACAGCAATAAATTTTACAAAATAGATATAAATTATATTATTCTTTGCATAGTCAACACGAGGGGAATAATTAACTCAAATTCCTATGTTGAGATAGACTTCTGTGTTATTGTAATTCATTTGACATTGATTTCTATATATAATGCAATCTCAAATTTATATTTATCCAAGAGCAACTCGAAAGAGTATTTTTATCTATTTATTTTTTATACTTTAGCTTTTCGTGTTTGTTTTCTATTCATGAGGTTCTGTCAGTGTGGATAATAAACCCAGTGAAGTATATATGCCTTTCTAGTAGACACTTGAATTTGTTTTTATCTGTAGAATATTTCTGCAATATTTCTAAGGGCATTTGGTAGAGACATCTATCCTCTTTTAGATGAACCCTACAGAAAATTAAGCAATCTTATCAAACTTCCAAAGGTCTCTTAAACTTTCAATAAACTTTAAGGGAATATATATATGTGAAATAATAGCCATCATGAAATGCATGTTTCTCTCAAATCCCTACATGTGCAACATTTCTTGCCAATAAGAATTTTTGATGAGATAAAGACATTTTGGATAAAAATTCCTTTAACATATAATAAATTTAAAGGTGTCACTGCCCATATACATTATGTGATGTTTCCCAAGGTTATGTGTTTGTTATACTTTCAACATTTATTACATTTAACTTACCTAATATTTTGTAAGGTTTGAACATCATGACTCATAAAAGTTGTACGATTTTGCCCTAACCGTTTTGGCTCAGTGGATAGAGCGTCGGCCTGCGGACTCAAGGGTCCCAGGTTCGATTCTGGCCAAGGGCATGTACCTTGGTTGCGGGCACATCCCCAGTGGGGAGTGTGCAGGAGGCAGCTGATCAATGTTTCTCTCTCATTGATGTTTCTAACTCTCTATCCCTCTCCCCTCCTCTCTGTAAAAAATCAATAAAAATATATTTTTAAAAAAAAGTTGTACGGTTTTATTCCAGACTTAATATCATGATGATCCCCCAAGTATTGAAATGTGTATAAGAATTTTGCCACATTATTTTTAGGCTTTCTTTTAGATATTTACTGAACTTCAGTAATGTTCGACCCTTGGAAAAATACATTTCCCAATTCATTATTTTTTAAAATATTTTTATTGATTTTTCTGAGCTGGAAAGGGAGATGGGGAGAGAAACATCGATGTGAGAAGGAAGCATGGATTGGCTACCTCTTGCACACCCCCTACTGGGTTCTAGCCAGCAACCCAGGCATGTGCCCTGGTTGGGATTCAAACCAGCAACCCTTCAGTGTAAGGATGACACCCAACCAACAGAGTCACACCAGCCAGGGTCCAATTCATTATTTATTTTTCTTCTTTCTTTTTTTTTTTTTTTCAGTTAATCAACCAAGGATATTTTCTCCATTGATTTTTAGAGGGAGTGGAAGAAAAGGTGAGAGACAGAAAGACAGAAACATCAGTGTAAGAGAAAGGAATCAATGGTTTCCCTCCCGTAGGTACCCGACTGGGCCCAGGATTGATTCCAAAACCAAGGTAGGTGCTCTTGACCAGAATTGAACCCTCCACCCTTTAGTCCACTGGCCCACGCTCTAACCCAGGGGTGGGCAAACTTTTTGACTCGAGGGCCACAATGGGTTCTTAAACTGGACCGGAGGGCCGGAACAAAGGCATGGATGGAGTGTTTGTGTGAACTAATATCTCTAACCACAAGCAAAACCAGCCAGGGCCCAATTCAGTATATTTTAAGGCAGCTTTCCATAGTAGGAAATTCTCATGCGTAGTGAAGATTCATCCTTCCTAAACACCTTCCAAATTCATTATATTTGTAAAAATGTTCTCCAATATTTATAAGTGTGATATGCGTTTATTACTGAAGAGTGGATCAAAACTTTCCCATCTTTATTGTAAATGTTAGTGCTGATACTAGGAAGGATTCTTTCATGCTGTGAAACCAAGGAACCATTTTGATAGATTTCCTGACTTGATTATACTTATACTATGCACCAGAAATCATAGGTATAAATTATCCTAACATTAGATTGGGCAATGCATTCCTTAGCTATTAAACAAAAAGCTCACTCAACCCTTCCCAGAATAAAATTTTGTTAAAATTTAAAAGTTGTGAATCAAAGGACACTATCAAGAAAGTGAAAAGACAATCTAAAACATAGGGGGAAATTGTATTAAATTTACCTAAACAAAGAATACTTAAAACAAGCCAAAAAAGATAAATTACCTAATATAAATACATATGTACCAAATGAATAGACAATTATCAAAACAAGATATACCAGTGAACAAACACCAAATGAGAAAAAATGCTTACTATTATTAGTCATTAAAGAATGCAAATCAAAACCATGAGATGCCACGAAAAAGTTGAGAAATTAAAACCCTTGTGCATTGCAGGTGAAAATATAAAATGATGTGGCTGCTTTAGAGAAGAGCTTGGCAAGTCCTCAAAAAAAATGAAATTAACTTATCTTTATGACACAATTCCACCCATATACCCAAGATAATTTAAAATGTATGTCCATAGGTCTGACTCGTGTGGCTCAGTGGTTAAGCATGGGCCTATAAGCCAGGTCACGGTTCAATTCCCAGTCAGGGCACATGTGCGGGTGAGGGCTTGATCCCCAGAGTGGGGCCTGCAGGAGGCAGCCAATTGATGATTCTTTCATCATTGATGTTTCTATCTCTCTCTCCCTGTCCCTTCCTCTCTTTTTTTTAAAAGATGTGAACTTTTTAAAAAATTTATTATCTAAAGCTTTACATATGTCTCCTTTTTCCCCAATTGACCCCCACCCTTCCTCTCTGAAAT